ATCTCAGTCACTTAACAAGCAGCAAGTTCATTTTTATCACCTCAATAAGCTCTGCAGATGAACACCCAATGAGTATTAAAAGAACTGGAGGTTAACTGCCTCCAATCATCAGTTATCTACTAGGCCACCGTCACACTTAAGGACAATAGCACTAATGAAACGTACATCGGACCTACAGAAAACGACTTCAATATACAGAAACCACACTGCATCATTCCGACACGCAAAACGCAGAAACTCTACCGAACTCAGCAAACACATCTGGACTCTTAAAGACAATAACATTGGCCACTTTATTTCATGGCGTATCCTTTCATCAAGCTGACCCTACAATAGCGCAAGCAACAAACGTAACGAACTTGTGTCGTCATGTCGTCACAGAAACAAAGCGTTGCTGCGTAACAGCTGAACTAAACATCTAAATTTACCGCCACATCAACTTATGCAAATTTTATAGTATATTAACGATATTCACGAATATTCTTGCCACTGAAATCCCCTGAAGAGTGAGTTAATTACGAAACAGGCTTGTAAGGATGAAAGTGTAGTCTCTTTGTTTTTGCCTATCTCAATACATATCGCACTCTACTTCTATGTATCGAGCACTGTACTACGGAAAAAAAAAAATATATATATATTATATATATACTATTTTTATATATATAGTTTATATATATATATTATATATATATATATGCATTCTGCCTAATTAATCTAGTTCGAATCCTCTGGCATGGCTTGGATGATACCACAATTGTGGAATCATTCGGGGTAAATTAATGCTTACACCTCCTTTGTAACATCAGCACTGGTGAGGCCCAGTAGGCCGAAACAGTACTGTCTGCAATTCTAAATATAAATATAAATATATATATATATATATATATACACACATATAAATATACACACACACACACACACACACACATATATATATATATATATATATAATTTGCACAATGGAGAATGTGCTTCCGTTTTCAACGCTTTATTAAAGACCCGACGCGTTTCGGCATTTGCCTTCCTCAGGGGCCTTGACATGCAATTGTTACAGAGTCGTAATTGGTTAATAGTGTGACGTAGTATAGTGCATGTTGCTTAATTAAATGCTGTGTAAAATCTCTCGTAAACAATTAGTGTTTCTAATTGGTTAACAGTTTTAAAACCTTTATAACGTATGTTATAAACAATTTATGTACCTAAAACTTAATAAAGGTTTTCGCGTAAAAGCTTTATCCAGTTCTTTTGTTTAGTCCATATGGCTGAAAGGAGTTTAATGTTCTTTGCCAAAAAATCTCTCTTTCTCTAAGAACTTCTTTCTTTTTGTCAGTCTGTAAATGATCTTTTCGGATTTGCTCTATAATGGTTATGGTAACATTATTGTTAAAGTCGTGAGTTCGTTTGTTATGTAAAAAGTGTTCCGTGAGTTCGCAGCTACTCACTCCCTTTTTAATATGGTTTCTGTGATTGTTTAACCGTAGGTTAAATGCAGTTTCGCTTTTGCCAATGTATTGAAGTTTGCAAATGTTGCACTCGATTATGTAAATGATCCATGACGATTGGCAGTCCACTGTATGAAATATGGTATAGGTCTTGTTGTTATTGGGACTGGTGAAAGTTGTGGTCTGGTTGATCTTTTTACACCAACTACACTTCGTTCTTTCACATGCTCTACATCCCTTTGGTCTCAAATTCTGAGGTGTTTCATTTACAAATCTAGATCGAACAAGTCTGTCTCGTAGACTTTTCGGTCGTCGGTAAGCTATTAAAGGT